ATTGCAGCACCATCAATCTGCTTTCCATACAAACCGCCTTAACAACAGTTCATGGAACTACCTGGCTACGGACAATGATCAGCGTCGATGTGAATTACTTAGCGAATTATTCGCAGAGCCACCATCCCAGATGTCCAGCGCGACTGCATGTGCATTTTTCTCTTACGCAGTTTTGAGCGAAAGCGTAACAGCCATTGGGAACTGTGCTTTACAAAGAAGTAAACCGGACGCTTAGAACCATGTAGTCCGAGGTGTCAGACAGCAAAAGAACATATCACGTGATGCAAGCGATATGCGTATTCACTCCAGTGAATCACTTTACTTCACTCTATGCAACCATTCATCGATGACAGTCGTCACCCTACTTTCAATCTTCCTGTCTTTCATCCAAGTGGGCGGCCAAAAGACAGCAACCAAAACCCGGCGCACGAAAGTGCATGATTAATGGTTGTACAAGCTAAAACAGAAACTGGAATAGCTTCGAATTTTTCCAGTATTTGAAACTGAAAGCGAAAATTGTCCAAAGTTTGAACAAATACTGTGCATTCTTTATTTTCTTTGCCAATTTCTTTTCTATTCGTGCTGCATTTTCAGCACGCGGTTTTGCTGCCGTTCGACTCAATATCGCACTGATCTGTTGCCTTCCAGTGTCCCGGGAATCCAATTGACGGTTACCATACCCCAACATTGAGAAATTTACCCTTCCTACTACTAACCGGGTTGAATGTTGTGACAAACTAAGAGGTAGACTTGAATTGATCATCATTCCTACTTTGTATTCACGCACGATCCTTAGTTCATTTGGTCAGTCATACACTCGGGAACCATTAGACTGGAGTTCCGCTCTCATTAGAGTTTATCATTACTGCGTATGTACCAAAGATGGTTAGTTCAAATCTATCACCACTCACAAGTAACAGAGTTAAATTTGGATTAAAATGCGAAATGAAACATTTATTTAACATTTTTATTCGACGTACGATCAGAGTACAGGCACTATTCAAGAAGAGGGTCGCGGTCGATCGAAGACTGACAAACAAGAAATGGGAAAGCAGAGTAACGATGGCGGGACCCGAACACAAACACCAAGACAGGTATCAAGTGGTCTACATCGCTCTACTACCGTCGCCTCAAATCGTGAAGTGCGGGTATCAAAAATGCGAAAAATATGTACTTTATCAAATCAAAATACTTGTTCTGAGGTTTGTGTATTCGAAGCATTGAGCAATGTGGATTAGAGAAGAAAGTTTCATTGTTCGATTTGATGCCACATATACCCCCCAGAATTCGCTGAAGTTGCCAACGGCCTTGAGCACTGGATCTATGTAACTGGCTTCACCCTTTGGTTATCTATCACACACGCCTTTTTAAAGGTGCTAAGTCCATGCTTTTCAGCCAGCTGAGCTCGTAGTTTTCGGTGAACCTATCGAAGCACTCAAGACTTGTATCTCTAAATAATTCTTCCATCCACAATTGATTTACTTCTTGCACCCCTTCAGGATGCTCACAACTGTGAACTGGAATTCGACCGGACCCGTTTTGCCTCCCTGTTTGCTGTCTATGACGGACATGGTGGCTCTGAGGTGGCTCGGTATTGTGCCAACTACTTGCCGCAATTCCTACGTAATCTTCCGTCGTACGTTAATAAAGGCGATCTCTCGGATACACTGAAACAACTGTTCCTGGATTTTGACGCTTCATTGACAACTCCCGAGGTAGGTATTCTAATTGATTTTGTACAGTTGTTACGTAGAATATTTTTCTTTCATTTGTTGCAGTGAGAATTATCTTTTTTCACAGTAACACTGCCTTCAACATTCTAATCTTTCCTATGATCATCCAACTGGGCAGACAGAACCAAAGCCGCCACACGAAGATGCGCGGTTAGTGTTTGTAAAAAATGACCTATGGGCGGTCTACATGTAGAGCAATATTATAACACAAGTCAGCAATCGCAACTGCATTCCACTCCAATAAAGCGGTCTTACATGGCTTCGCTTTTCCTGCTATAGGATGAGTCGACATCCTGGTTACCTTGGATGGCAGCATTCTTTCATTGCGGTTGTTGGTGGGGTAGATGCAAACGGGAATTCTATTCAATTGGATTCAATGTTATAGATAGACTCGGTAGATTGAAAGTAAACCTAGTCATCCCACATGAAAATTCTATGGTGCTCCATTTCGCTTGTTTGCCGAGCTTGGCAATTTGTTTGTAAACATTTCATCACCAGCTGAGGTGACATCATCAGTGCTTGTGAAGTGGCAGGGTTCTGCCTGTACTCCGTTCGTTTGTGTTCTCCACCGACTATTTTTGTCCCTTGTTCTCACACGGTTCGCCGTTAAACTAGTGCCCGAGGGTGAGGGTGGGAGGGGTTCGTCCTGACTGCGGTTCCGCTCCTTTCTCAGGTCACGGCGTGACCTTTATTTGTTGCGTCGTTTGATCCTTGAGTTGCATTGGTGTGTACACGTGATCCAAATCAATGTGCATGTTTATTGAAGAGTGCCAAGCCTCGAGAATTTTTCTGGCTTGATCAATAATTTTCACTGATTCGAAGTCAAGCTGACGTCCTTGATCTTCGTGTAGGGAAATCAACGATAGTGGATCATGTCTCCTGACTGCCGATCGGTGTTCACGACTCCTTGTTGACGGTTTTCTTCTAGTTTGTCCGATGTAATGTTTTGGGCACTTCTTGCGGTTTATTTTGTTCTCTCCTTTAGTTTTGATAGAAGTTTCCTTGGACAGGCAGTCGGTTTATGGATGACTTGGATTCCATATGATCTCAGCAATCGTGCTGTCATTTCCGAAATGTCCTTGATGTATGACAGGGTTCTTGTTCCCGATTCTCCGTCTGTTGTTTCTTTCCTTGAATCAGAGTTCTTTTGATGAAGTTGCTAATGTGGCCATTGGATGCAAATACTCTAAGGAGGTATCTTTCTTCTTCAGTATGTCGGTGCTGCAGTGCGTTTGGATTCTTCCGAACAAGGTTCTAACACAGCATCTTTGTGGCTGTGTGAATGATCACTATTGGAGTTCGGAAGTTGATCCGTATGCGTCGCTTTACGGTAGACCGTTGTCTTCAGTTTTCCGGATGGCGTTCTGATAGTCATGATGTCCAAAAATGCCAGTTGTTCATCCTTCTCAGTCTCCATTGTGAACTTGATACCATTGAATGTGTTATTGATGACGTCGTGTGTTCTTTCTAGTTCCGACTTCTTTAAGATGGAGAATGTGTCATCCACGTACCGAAGCCAAAGTTGTGGCACGATTCTTCTCAAAAATCAGCCACTGAAATATGTCGACAGAGCTCACGGGGAACTTCAGCATTCATAGAGATTAAATGCTATTATTTGATCGGTTCAATTATATATTGTGTTCTGTGAAATGCATCGGTCAGTGACTGAATGGCCCCAGATTGTAACTTAGTCCTGTAATGTGGACCGCAANGCGTTTGGATTCTTCCGAACAAGGTTCTAACACAGCATCTTTTGTGGCTGTGTGAATGGTTACTCTTGAAGTTCATATTTGGTCAGTGTGCGTTGCTTTGCGGTAGACCGTTGTCTCCAGTTTTCCTGATAGTGACCTGATAATCAAGATGTCCAAAAATGCCAATTGCTTATCCTTTTCTGTCTCCATTGTGAACTTGATGCCATTGCCTATTATTGGTGATATTGTGTGTTCTTCCTAATTCTGACTTCTTTAAAATGACGAATGTGTCATCAACGTATTAGAGTCAAAGTTTTGGCATGATTCTTGGTTGTACCTCCTCCAACTTCTGCATTACGGCTTCGGCTATGAATCCGGAAATTGGTGATCCCATAGGTGTTCCTTTCAGCTGTTCATAGATTTCATCCTCGAATTGGTGCGCCACTCCAATTCAAGGGTTTCTGTCGTTCTCCCTTGAGTAAGCATGTCCACATCCGCTATCCGTCTCACAATAGTTTACAATAAAAATAACGTTTGATTTCATCTTATTCCCCCTTTTTTATGCTGGACCCCAAACCTACCAGCTCCAATGGAGAAGATATGAAGGGCTGACTGCTTTCGACAGCGCAGTAGCCTTCCCTATTAGGATGAAGTCTAGTCAGTGTAGGCGATAATCTTAAGCTAGTTACAATAGCTTTTCTGTATTTGAGCACCATAGTCTGACTTCGTCGTTGGAAAATCATTCACTCCGTATTGCCCATAGTTCATCGTAGACACCAGTTTCAGTTTTTACAACCATTAATTCTGAATTTTCATGCACCGCTTTTGGTTGTTATCGTTTGGCTGCTCATTTAGATAAAAGAGCAGAATAAGGATTGAAATACCGAGAGCAGAGTCAAAGGGAAGATAGGGAATTCATTTAGACAGGTTGCAAGAATAATGAATAGATGCATGAGCGGCAGCGATACTCAGCCATATCACCCGGTGTCTCCAACCACTGGTTACCGTGATCTCGGGGTCCCCGGAGAGAGTAACGGTACCTATGTGACCCAGTCTCCGGGTTAGGGTTTTCATACTCTCTTACCATGTCTTGGTTTGACCGCCCTTGACCGCTGCGTACTTCGGCAAACACCACGCCCCGCGACAGTGTGTTTGGTAACATGCGCAACGCATGTCACAGCCACCGCGGTCTATGGAGGTCAACCACTTGTTCCAGTGGACGACTGTAACTACCTAGAATTCTGCGTCTAACCTCAGCATAACTTGTCCGGTTTCTCCACCAGACTCATGCAATGCAGCGTAGACATCGATGCTTGAATATCGACGATTCCGTTTTTACTCTGTTCCGGTAATGACCAAGCTTCTGAGGTGTATGGCAGAAATGGCCTAACTGCAGCTTCAATCGACCTTTCTTAGAAAGTTAGGTGTCGCGACGGCGCCATGGATGTCTCAAGTTGGCACATGTCAACCGATCCTTCTGTACGCTTGTCGACACTTCACTTGTGACGCATCGCATCACGACGAGACTGCATCTTGTCTTGGTGTGATGGCTTCCGGGGGTTCCATGACACTGCGAGATACACAGGATGGCTTTTCACGCTCGTAGATCCAATCACGCACGAAAGGTCAATGGGTAGAGGCCAGACAAAGCTCAGCCTCGCAAGGTCAGTTGCGTGGGCATCTCCTGGTTTCCTTTCCTATCCATTCCCGCCCTTGGAGAGGTCACTGTGGCAAATAAACATGGTGCGGAGCAGTTTACCGGTCGAAAAACGCCCGCTAGATGGATGCAAGTGCGGGGTACCTGAGGTTTCCTCTCGAAGGTGGGAAAAGTCTTCGCACTTCATTGAACAGCTACTGCCGCAAGTGGTCGGAAGGAGGCAAAAAAAGTGAATCTCTACGGTCAACACAGTGTCTCCAACCAACCAGTTACCTAACCAAAGCCTGACCTACCTGACTCTGTTCAACTCATGTGGTCTAGTGATTATATCCATTTGTTTGACTTTCGAAATTCCGAAAGAACAGGTTAACAGCACTCGTTTACGGGCAGAAATGCTGTACGATCTGAGTCCTGTTCAAATGTAGCATCAATTGTGCTCTGCGATCATCTCCTGAGCCAGTGTTCAACGCACGAACGTGTATGTGTGGTGAATTATTTCTCCTTAAATGACAAAGTAAACACTCCAAGTATAGACTCGGTTAAGTGGACGTTTTTAGCCATAAGGGAATTATCGCCTAACAGCGATTACAACCATGGTATCGAGGTATAGGCCTAAAGTGTACTCATCCAACTGCAAAGTGAGATTTTTGAACAAATTTTACGTAGATTTGATTTGGCTTCAAATAGAAAGACCCGGGAGCACTTCTACGTCTTACTGGAATTATACACTCTGATGAAGAAAAACTGGCCTGAGACCTATCCATGAAGTTCTTTATTTTGTCCCGGAACAGACCGATTCACCCCAGAACGATCATATTTCCATCACATGTGTTGTATCACTGAAAGAAAGAGTGTGAAACTACTCATGAGTAACTGTGAGTTAAATGTGAAAATGTCAAACGTTACACCGGTAACAGAGTTGTTCGGTTCAGCCTATGATAGAATTTAACTTTGAAAACTGACAGATCTGGTGCACATTACCTTGTGAGAAAAGTGTGTGGAAATGTATGCAGTCGTGTGCTTATAGCAACTTAATGTGTTAATGTGTCCAAAATAATTTCACAGCATCCTCTTAGGTGGCTAGGTCACGTCCTACGAATGGCTGAGCAACGTCTACCACACCGAGCACTATTCGCAGACATCGGTCCAGGCTGGAAGAAATATCGAGGTGGAGAGTCTGTGTATGATGTGGCGCAGAAGGTTGAAGAGACTGTGCTCGGCTGTGGTTTCCGTTGGGGTTTCCCGGCTGGGGCCCCAAAGATTCACATTGTCTTTGGCTGGAGACACTGCTGGATGTGGCATCGAACCGAAGTCAGTGGCGTAAATGTGTCTTCTCCGGTGTGCAAAAATAAATAAAAACAACGAAAAGAAACTCAAAACTGCGTGCATTAAACAAATAAAAAAGTTTTATATCCTTAAGTTGACTGTTTTGTTTTCCCTGCTTCTGTATCCATATTTTCTCATTAACCAACGGTTATTTTTGGTGCTCTATCTGTGCAGATTGGTGATATATATATGTATATATAATGTGCTAAATTCGTAATACACTTTCCTGTTTCTCACAGACTCGCAATGTGCTGCGCAGTTTGAGTGATCCGGCTAATCGATCAGA